ATACCACAGTATTAAAATAAAAAGTGTCCTTTTTCTTCAGACTCCGATTTACTTTCTTTGAATTAGCAGTTCAATGTTCTCGAGTCCACTGCTGCTTTGCAGAAGTTTGGGTAAATCCTACCAGTTCAGAAGGAATACAGTACAGGAGTGTTCAGTCCAACAGAGGGCGTTAACTCTCAGATGGATGTAGATCAGAAGGTCCAGGGAAGGCTCGCCATCTTGTTTCAACCTCGTGCTCAGAGATGATATAAAATTTACTATTTCTCCAACCCACTCTGAATGGCCTACCATAAACATAAAAGTGCATAATACATAGTCTGGTAGCTCTAAAATAAATAAAAGTCTGCTCGCTGTCTCAACTGGTGCTTGCAAAATGGCTGCTATCAGCACTAGTCCAGACAGTGAACATATGCACACTTAGCCTTAGCTAACATTTGGATTGTGTTTGTGTAAGCCCTCAGTCGTACAGGGATTAGTCAAAGCAAAGGAAGGTTTCTCACCCATCATCTGTACTTCTTAGCAAGTTTTCCCGACGTTTCGTCCTCAACCTAGCGGACTTCTTCAGGGAATGAATTCTCGGACCGCGCGTTGGAGATTTATAACCTATGGGTGTGGTTAGCCACACCCTAATCCTGATACTAACTCGTAAACAATCTCAGGTCTGCTTGATGTAGAAGGGAGCAGATCTAACGAATCTGCTGGATTGTGTGCTAATATTTTACCACAAAATAATCTCAAATAACAAATATCAGCACTTAAGCTTCACATTTACATAAAAAGATTATTACATTGCACAGATTTACATTAAAACAAAATACATTTCTTATTTTCACTCACCAAGTCCCGATTCTCCACAGTACAACTTGCCTCGGTCACAGGACAAGGTGAAAAAACAAAAATACTCTTCTTTAACTTTCTTTCAAAACCAAAAATATCTCTCTACAACTCCAGACTCGCGTATCTCTCTGCAAAAATCAGTTTTAACCACTTTTAACTCAAAAATATCTTAACTCTTATTTTTCTAGAATCGTCTCCTTCTCACCTTCTGCTTCTTGCCAGTTCTAGAACAAATCTGGTTGGCTGTTGCTAGTCACATGGGACATACAACTACGTGTCTTTCAAAATAAAAGTCCAAAGACATTTTTTAAACCAAAACAACCAGGAATTTGCATATTCTTTAGCTTTTTAAGTATACTAATGAATAGATTAATATATTATAGACGTTTTTAATGACCATTTAACCATATTGATGTATTTATTGACCTTTTATCCATTGTAGTTATTGATGTTTTATTAACATGCTTTTACTTTGACGGTCACACTGGGTTACATCAGTGTCATGGGTGTGTTTCTGTGGTTCCTCTGATGCAGGAGGGACATTTATGTCCCAGAGATGAACTGGGACATATGAGGACATTTATTAACATTTCGGAACTGTGGTCGTCCTGCTCCTTATATGGCTCCATGCGTTTGTTATTATTGCATTTCCTGTGTTTGACGTGTATATTCTAAACTCAAACACATTATTTGTTAAATGAATGTAATAAAATTATGGACATAATTTCCACCCAAAACAAATGCGTTTCTATAGCAATAATTAATTGTGTGGACTTGACACCATGTGAAGATGTGGGATTCACATCATGTAATATGGTTTATGTAACATCATAACTTTGGATTGATCCAACTATAACAACTTGTGGTGAACATATTGTGTGTGACTATTGAGTTAAATCCTTCTCGGCAACTGCTGCTGTGGTTTTGGACGATGCACAAATACAATGAAGTGAAACTACATTGAATTCAATGGAATAGATCTTTTTTCCTATTTTAAGATTTCTTTTTTTCTTATTTTATCTTATTTAAGTAATTTTTGCTTGTTTTGGGTCCAAATATTACTTTTTAAGCACATTTTTCTTAAGAAAAAGCTAGAATTAATTTCTTAAAATAAGAACTTTATTCTCAAGGAAATTTTGCTAGACAAGATTTTTTTTTCTTTTTATACAAAAAACAAGTTTTTTTTTCTTATTTCAAGATTTTTTTACTTGCTTAGAATTGACTTTTTGCAGTGTAGTTCTTTGTGTGCAATGAAAAGTGATGTATGCGTTTGTTTTATCCAACCACGCAATCAGTGAAAAACATGTTGCATAGCTTTTATTTAAGTACTTCTAATCTTAAATACATTTAGGCCATTAACTCTGACATCAGGTCTGTTGGATTTCAAGAGGCAAAAAGTAAGTACTCATGACCTTAAATCTGGTCTGTAAGTTCACGTCCATGCGTCTTCTGTGTCCAGCTTCATGTTCACAGATGATTTACATGAAATATCACATTTTTAAGATAATGATTACTCTTAAAACAATTGTTATAACAGAGAAAGTATGATACAAAAGCCGCCTTTTTGGGTTTTCATGATTACTTCCACAATTAGCACAATCCCTGTTAGCATCAGGGAGCTCTCAAAATGACTCCCAGCGCTTGACGCTCCATTCTGGGCATCAGCGCAGCTCTGCACCCGCGGTTAGCGGGTTAGCATTGGAGCTCAAGGCTGGAGAAAAAGTCCAAAGAAAATCTGTTTAATCACCAAACAGACCTCTGATATGACTATAGAGGGGGCTAATTCCCACCTCCAATGTTATTACAATTAAATGTTATGTCCTAATTAAAACGTAAATTCAAGTTTTACCTAGTCATGGCCGCCCCTCTCTCCGCTCCGTGATCCATGCTACTGAGGGACGCTCACGTACAACAGCACGGCCCGAAAATAGTGTGCTGCTTCCTAATCGCCATCAGAATGAGTCCAGTGTGGACATCTGGATAAAGCCGAAGTCGTGTTTTGGCCCTGGATACACCTATGGAGGATTGGCTGATCGATTGCTTCTGTCTTGATTTACCCGGAAATAAAGCATGACATTTCAACCAGCGAAAAAAAATGCAACGAATTTTTGGACACTGAATTTTAAAACATTGAATATTTTGACACTAAATTTTAAAACATTGAATATTTTGACACTGCATTTTAAAACATTGAATTTATTTACACTGAATACTTTTTTGTTATAGTTTATAGAATTCAAAAGCAAAAAAAAGTGTTGATAATAAAAACACAACAATCTTCATATGCGTTCCCGGCTTCAATGGGTTGAGCTGTAAATAATACAAATATTGGACCCAGGGGAAGCTCTGCAGCAGCAAGCTAAAAGCTTAGGTTGTACTGCCTGCTTTCAGCAGGCTTAGTTTGAGGTGTCCTTTGGCATTTAAAAATGTATTTAACAGTTTCTTTCTCCCTTTTGCCTCAGTTACTACAACCGCATACCACACAAAAACACTGAATCGTGTCTATGAAAGTCAGCAAAGTGAAAACTGCGGGCTGTCCACTAGCACAAACCAACTTAACCCTGCTTTGGTAAATCAGTTTGAGTGAATACAGGTCCGAAAGGCAGGTTGTGTCTTGAACATAGCTTTTATGTCTCACCTGTTTTTTTGTTTTTTTTTCATGTCATTGCATGTTTGCTAAACCGGCCAAACCTGAATGTGGACAGACTATTTAAGCTCCCACTGTCTATCATTGAATGAAGCATGCAGTTTGTTCCAGCCAATTTTTAAGTCTCTAAAATGTTATTGGGGTTGTAATCATTTTTTTTTTTTTGATTATTGATTATTTAGATCTGAGTATATTTTTTTCCCTACATTTGACCAAAGCAAAGCTATAGTGATGCCCCTGGAGAACATCTTCATAGAAATGACGTTTGGGTTTTTTGATTACAAATTCTTTGTAAACTAGAGCTGTATGATTTTGAAAAGTTCAATGTGTGTTATTATTGTCAAGGACTATAATAACAATATTTATTTTTCATATATAGTTACATAAAAACAAATGTAAAAATCAAAATTGAGTGAGCTTTGTTTTGAAGTGTAAATACATTTCAGTCCGGTGTTGATAAGCTCTGCGTTGTATAATAATAGTTTTGGGTTAAATCACCAAAGTGCACTTTGGTGATTGTCCAAATAGCTTTGCATTTCACTCTCTGCTTGTGCGTCTGTCCTGAAGCCAAAGTGCCACGTTTCACATGAGTTTGTGTGCTAGCTTCAGCCAATTACAATGCAGGACTTTTAAGGGGTCTGCATTTAAGTAAAAAATACCATATCAGTGAAAGAAAAGCATTATTTTTGCATGTTGATATCTCAAAATAAAATTGCATCATTGTAGGACTGGGCAATAAATAAAATTTAGGCAATTACTCGGCTTTTGAAAAAATCGAATTTGTGAAACTTTTTAAAATTGTGAAATTGACTGAAGGATGTGAGAGTTCCAGCAATACATGAATTATACTTGGAATATCTGCACAGTCTCTACATTACTTTTATAATACGTTTTGAGGGAAACAAATTGAGCGGAAAGATCAACAAATATTTTTAAGGGCAAAGTCTGTCTTCGGTGACTTATATGAAAATTGATTTAAAATCGAAATCCTCCAAAGCAGGAAATAAAATTGAGATTTTACTTTTGTCTTATCGCCCAGCCCTACGTCATTGTGATTTGGATATTGCACTATTATCGCAGTGATATATCGTACTAGCCCTATTTTAAACTGTTATGTCTAATTCTTCAGTCACTATAGAAGTCATAAACTTGCTGAGAAGAGGTTTCAATTGATTAATAAATAATTTAACAACTATTTTGATAGTCGATTAGTTGTGATATGTCCCTTTTTTACAGTCCTACTTGATTTCTGTGACCAAATATTACCAAACAGTGTATTGATGTTCCGGACGGGAATTTGATTTGTAAGGAATCCGCGTTTTTATGTTGTCATCATGATCCTTAAATGTAGGCGGCCATACGCCTGGTGATCGGCAAAAAGCAAAAATGAAATTGTTACGTCCTTAATGGTGATATGGTCAAAAGCTCTTTTTAGAGATTTTTACCATAAAGTAGATATCTTTCATATAAAAATTCTGCTGCACATATGAATATATAAATACATTTTCTGATCCAGGTGACGGTAACTCCAAGATCTCCAGCGTTTACATCAACAACTCTCACGGTGTGGACGATGACGACTTCTATGACCGGAACCTGGCCTTATTTGAGGTAATAAGGGTAAACTTTCCTTTTTTTTTATTCCTACCAGTTACAAAGATGTGAATTTAGAGGAAGGCAATATGTACTGCCTTCCTCTAAAGGCATGCGGCTGTTGTGGTGAAGAGGGAGCAGTTCAACATGGGCCGCAGTTTTTTATGTTGTACATTCCTGAATTGACACAGGAAGCTCTGAGGGCACAAACATTCAGAGAACTACAGTAGTTTAAAAACATCCGATTAATCAAAGGAAAGGAATGGTAATTATACATTTTTTACAAGCAGTTTTTGGGAGTGGGGCAAGAGTTGGCCGGAGTAGGGGACAAGGGTGGCAAGGTCTGAACCAGATTGAGAGAATTTTTTCTATCACATCAACATTTGACAGCGGACAAAAAGCCTTAAAGAAGCTATACCCAATTTTTCCGGGGCATATCCGGGGCCGGAAATGGGCCAGTCCCAGGACCCCCATAAGGGCCTAGTGTTACGGACTAGATATATATTTATTTCTATATGACGTTAGCTCTTGTGTGACGGTAAATATGTATTTCTACATACAAGTTGTATTAAAATCTGTCATTTAATTGGAAACTTGAGCTCATTTAGCTTGGGTATGAATTCAGGCCGTAAAAAGTGCTGAGTAGAGACTTTGTGTGGCTCGTTCTCCTCCACTGACAGAACGAGAAGCGGCGCTGTTAGGAACAGGTTGCGCCTTCTAGCCTCTACAGCGCTGGTACACACAGTAGCATGTTAGTAGAATTGGCTATAACTCCTAACAGTCTAAACAACGCAACAGTCAGGAAGAGAAGAGGGAACTAAAGCGAAAAAATTATCAAAGAAGAAACCAAGCCTGGGTGAACATAGCTAGCTAACATCGTATCCTGTCTGGAGCGACCTGCGGGACCGCCTCGGACTATCCATGCTCGGACTACATTTGGACGCGAAACTAGCGGTGATCTTTCAGTTATATATTTTGTTAGCAGTACTTTTGTACCATTTCATGGTAGTTCCCAAGGCAAACATCGGCTGATATCGATGTTCAGCCGATGCATAAGTGCATCCCTATCAAAAACACAATTTATAACTTATCCTCTAAACTGTAGAGATGTTGCTTGTAAAGAACATTATGTTTGAACTGCATAGCCGAAAACGCACTGAACAGCATTCTCCCACTGGGAGGTGGCCATGATTTCAAATTTTTGAGTCATGATTAAATATTGCAATTTTACGATTATTCATGATTATGAAATTTGCACATGAGAGAACAATAAACAATAAATGGAGAAAATAAGTTCACCATATATTTTACATGTTTTTCCATTCCATTTTCTTGCTGGGTCGCGGGGGCAGCAGTCTAAGCAGAGACGCCCAGACTTCCTGATCCACACACACTTCCTCCAGCTCCTCCCGTGTGACTGAGCTCCTCACCCTATCTCTAAGGGAGCGCCCAGCCACTCTGCGGAGGAAGCTCATTTCGACCGCTTGTATCCACAATCTTGTTCTTTCGGTCATTACCCAAAGCTCATGACCAAAGGTGAGGGAGGAAACGAAGATTGACCGGTAAATTGAGAGCTTTGCCTTTCCGGCTCAGCTCCCTCTTTACCACAACGGTCCGATACTGCGACCGCATCACTGCGCACGCTGCACTCACTTGTGAACAAGACCCCGAGATACTTTAACTGATCCACTTGAGGAAGGACCTCTCCACCCACCTGGAGAGGGCAAGGCACCTTTTTCGGATCGAGCACCATGGCCTCGGATTTGGAGGTGCTGATTCTCATCCCAGCTGCTGCAAACCATCCCAGTGAATAGGACTGGGATGGACAACAGTCCCATGCACTGGGACATTGTCCGCAAATAGCAGAGAAGAAATCCTGTGGTCCCCAAACCGGACACCCTCCGGGCCCTGACTGCGCCTAGAAATTCTGTCCATAAAGACAGTAAACAGAACCGGTGACAAAGGGCAGCCTTGGCGGAGGCCAACATGCCGGGAACAGGTCTGACTTACTGCCGGCAATGCTAACACAGCTCTGGCTCCGGTCATACAGGGACCAGACGGCCCTCAGCAGAGGACCCCGGACCCCGTACTCATGGAGAACCCCCCAAAGGACACCCCGGGGAACACGGTTGAACGCCTTCTCCAAATCCACAAACCGCATGTGGATAGGTTGGGCGAACTCTCATGAACCCTCGAGTATCCGATGGAGAGCATAGAGCTGGTCCAGTGTTCCACGACCAGGACGAAAACCACACTGCCCATCCTGAATCCGAGATTTGACCATTGGTCGTAGTCTCCTCTCCAGTACCTTGAAGTAAACCTTACCAGGGAGGCTGAGGAGTGTGATCCACGATAATTGGAACACACCCTCTGGTCCCCCTTCTTGTAGAGGGGGACCACCATCCCGGTCTGCCACTTCATTGGCACCACCCCGATCGTCACGGAATGTTGCAGAGAGGTGTCAGCCAAGACGGTCCTACAACATCCAGAGACTTTATAGTCAGGACGGATCTCATCCACCCCCGGCGCCTTGCCACCAAGGAGGCTTTTTATTTGGATGCATTATATTTAAAAAAAATATATATATATTTATTTGATGCGATCTAGGAAAACTCGTCGGATGTCGCGCTAGCACGTTCCGAGTAAACAGTGGAAATAGGTCGAGTGTCATTTTTTTGGCAAAATTGTGTTTTCATTAAATAATTATTATATAAACACTTGTCTTTAATTCCTGAAAATATCTAGGTGAAATTCACTAGTTTTATACATTAAAAATTGTGATATGTGTTGATAAACCGAACGTTACGTTACATCCTCCGCTCTGACCCCGGGAGCAGCTGCGGCCCCTTTGTGACAGCCGCTATGACAGCTCAGTGAGAGCACTGCTGTAACGGGGCTCCGAGCGCGGACCATAGACAGACGGACAGGACCATAGACACGCGAACAGGACCATCGACACGCAAACAGGACCATAGACACACGCGGACAGAACCCATAGACACGCAAACAGGACCATACGCGGATCATAGACACTCTGACAAGACCATAGACAGAACCGTACGCGGACAGAACCATTGACACGCGTTAAGACAATCCCCAGCTTGTTGCAAGTGCAGGTCTCCCCGTGTCTCCTATGCACTCACGAAATTAAATCTCGGGTACCTAATTTTCTTCTTGCATTAAAAATGCTTGGTGGGTGTGGATATTTATATTGCATGATTGGATAGAATAATACTGGCATTGTCTAATACATATATAATGTTCAGTAACTTATAAAGAGAAAGCAACTAAAAAGAGTTAGAAAATTTTTGTAAAACAAATTCAATTCATTGAATTTTGAAATCATTCTTGATTTCCATCTAATTCATGAGTGTTGTGTGTTTAGTTGGTGCCAAAGTAACATTTTTTATCTTTTACAACACAGTGACTAAAATAAGTGTGAGCCATAACAGAGTAATTCATATTAAACATGTTATATTTGATTGTGGTGATTCTATTTAGAATGTCCATCTTTAAACCTGTTTTTCTCAGAATTCTGTTTCATAAAACCATGTGAATTCGCTGACTTCAGATAATGATAACTTTTGTTACAAACCTGCTATGCAAAAAAGGAAAACAGATTTGAAAAGAGATTGAAAGTAGCTTTAAGATGGTGTCAGAATCTTAAGTTGGTCAAATTTCACCATGTGATGGGTTTTCCCAGATCAAATCACATACAGTAGGTCCCATTTCGTTTTGTCGCCTTTCACGCGTGAATAGCACGAGACTCACGTGTGAAACACGCGTCTTTTATTTATTTTTTTCCCAGTGATGCTGCAATGACCCAAACAACCACCAGGTGGCACTTGTGAGCAGGGTTAGGAACATTGGCTTCTCACCACTCTTTCTTCTCTCTTCACCGGACAACTTTCTGTGGCTTTATAGCTCAATGATACGGAGCTAGACTCTGGTGCGAGAGGACCTGGGTTCAAGTACAGGCTATGACACTTTTGATTTTGTTGACGTTTACATTTTTTCTAAAACATACTTAGTAATTAGGCCAACACATTTAAAATAGTTGCTAGACTGTAGTAAACTTTTAAAACGCGCTGGGTGTCACACATGGCTGGGGGCATTAACGCAAGGGTTGCCACTATTCTATAAAAAGTCCACTTAAATTTTTAATGTAGTCCATTTAAACTTAAATGTATTTGTCAGACATACATCCTACTCAAAAGGCGCTCTTAGACGCTGCTGTTGTAGCGAGGGCTGACGCAGCCTCATGCCGCTCCCGATCTCAGCTGAGTTTTTGAAGTGCACAGTAACTCAAAAAGAGTATTCTAACAATTTGAAAGTTATACCAGTTATACCACTTACTTTGAAATGGCATTCAGTAGCAACACTTTTAAACATATAACACATTCTCACGATATTGCAATTTATGATGGGGGGGAAAACTTTCTTTCTTAGTGTTTTACAAATATAATGGAGTTGGCTGATGAATGTCTGCTTAGTTTAAAGTAGAACAGTTCAGTCTAACTTTAGACTCAATTGTGTAATTGTCACTGCAGTGACTTGAGCTGCTACAGAGACATTTGAGCTCAATGACTGCTATAAACTGTTTGATGTCTCTGTTAAACAACATTCAATATTTTATACTTTGCTGCAGACTGTTACTGTAGGCTACACATGTTTTTCCTTCACTGAAGCAATTATTGCTCTGCTAATGTTTGCATGAACTTAGTTTGCATTTTTAAAGGCCAACAAAAGGCAACGTAACGCTGCCCCGCGCGTGTGATGCGTCGCTTTCTTTTCACTTTTAACTCCCTAAAATAAAGATTTAAAACGGCTTATATGCATTGACAGCCGCGCTCATCTCTATCCCATAGAAACAGTCAGAAAGGAACTTTTGAGAAGTGTTTTTTTTTTTTATTACAAAATAAGGAGTAAGTAAAAATAATAAAGTAATATACAACTGTATTGTTACAGTACTCCCGATCTAGATCGGGAGTACTGTAATACAGTGTTTTACAGAGTCC